AAGCAAGAAGGCTTTGGGAGCAATGCCTGGCCACAAAGACGAGGGGCATGCTGGGGTGGGGGGGATCCCAAATGCCCTTCCAGGGGCTGTGGGAGGTGATGGGCAGGAGGCTGCTTCGTGCATCTGGTGGGCCAGGGCAGCCCAGCCCGGCTCCAGGGCAGGGGATGTGCCCAGAGCTCTGCACGGGGCTTGTGCAGCCATAATTAGCTTACGTGGGCATGGTGGGTTGCAACAGGGAGCTGCAGCCTGTGCAAGTCCATTGGGATGGATCCCTGCTGCTTTTGGTCTTTCCTCCTTGGGGAAGTCTATCCTGTTCCTCGAGCCGCAGTTTGACACCTCGGGTCCTTTGGGTTTTTCACCCAGCTGTGCCTGTTTCCTGCGTAGGAAGATGCCTTGCCCAGCTGTGGGAAGGGTCTGGCTGGCACATGGGGGGCTCTCTGCCTCCTGCTGCACCCCAAATGGCGGGTGGAGCATTGCCCACCCCTGCACCCTGTTCCCATCGGGCTCTCTCACCCAAGCTCTCCCGTGCTGCACCCCCTAGCTGATGGAGGGATGTGTCCCATAGCATCCTGCTTCCCTTCTCCCATCTCATGTCTTTTGACTGCTTCCCACTGGATTTGGGTGAGACGTGGGGGAGTCACCTGGGGAGCCCTGTGTGACCTGGAGTGCAGCTCTTGCTAGGACCTTGCTGGCTGCCCTGCTTTTACCATTTTATGGACATCTGCGTGTATGCCTGGACCTTCCCTAGAGTGTCCCTCCTCTATCCTAGGTGTCCCGTCACCTTGTGCGGCCCCTGATTCGCATGAGCCTGGCGCTGCAGTACCAGGTGCGAGAGCTGACCTCCCTGCTGCTGCAGAAGGATGCTGAGATCGAAGACTACAGGGAGAGTGGGGCTGCTCTCAGCAGAGGTGAGGAGGGATGCCCTGGCCGAGAGAGGAGCAAGCAGGGAGTGAGCTTCCTCCTTCACGCGGGGCTGGCATGCTGTGCTCCCTCTGGCTATTACCCAGCCAGGCTTGTGTTTCATGTTCAGCCGCGCTGGAAGCGAGACGGTAGCCAGAAGGCTGGGGAGCAGCCCCTGGGGACACCTAGGGGAGGAACGGCCCTTGACCGGTAGCTGGAGGAGTTGGGGAGTCGCCAAGGGGCTCTCCGCTTTGCCGAGAGCACCTGGCCGCTCCCCAGGAACCGGCAGGGATGCCAGCAAGGGTTGGCCCTGGAGCGGTGTCAGGCTCCCTTCCCGAGCGCAGTAGCTTGCGAGCGCTTGGAGAGTAACCAGGGGCTCCCGGCTCTCCCCGCCATGAGAAGTGCAGCCATGTACAGGGGCCCTCTCCAGTGCCCAGCCCACCTTGCCATTGGGGACAGGGGCAGGAGTAAGCCCCCTTGGGTAGGTTGTGAGTCAGGACCTGCCTGGGGGAGCCACCCGGGGGGGGTTGTCCTAAACCCATGGAGGTCAGCTGGGCACTGGTTTTTCGGTCATCCCTTGCTGGCACCATGCTCTGTCCTGCTGCCAGAGGTGATACCTGCTCTTCCGCAGGAACCTGGCCCCTCCGGGATGTGGGGTCCAATGGGGGCCAGCCCTGACTTGCGTATCGTGACCAGGAAGGTGATGTGGTCCAGACCCTGTACCGTGGCAGGTGCCCCACCATGGGATCCTGGAGCTGCCCTGCAGCTGCACTAGAGCTGCGCCAGCCGGCCATGCTCTCCTTTGTCCTGCTGCATGCCGGCTCTGCAGGGCTCAGGGCAGCCAGGACAATCCAGTTTGGGTCTGGGGACTGATGCTGGTGAGCAGGTGGCCTCTCTTGTCCCTTGCCTGGGCAGGGCAGGAAGATGGGAGGAAGCTTTGCACCAGTGCTGCCGAGCAAAGCTGGCCAGGTGCTTCTCCAGACAATATCTTGGCAATGATGAGGAAAAATCAGTGCTCTGAAGGAGGCACAGAGAAGAATGAAGGATATCAAGGGTTTGTTCCTGTCCTGCAAGAGGAGGACACAGATGGGCTCGCCCCTTCAGAGAAGCAACTGGAGACAAGCAGTCCCCTGTCCCGTGGAGCATGGCTGTGCAGTGCCCAGACCCAGGCAGCTCTTTCAAGCTGGGAATGGTGCTGAGCATGTCCTGCCACTGCCCCCTGCTCCTCTGTGCAGGAGGGTGCTGGGACAAGTGTGGGTGAGCTCTGGGCTCTGCTACCTGGCTGCATCAACAGGCTCAAACTTATTCCCCCACTTCCCTGCAGTCCTTGCACCTTCTGCTAATCGGGTGATGTGTCCCTTGCCTAAAGGGCCTGCTTACCTCTCCTGCTGGCTCTGGGATGAGAGTGCTGGAGCTGTTCCCCCACAGCCCCCTCACCCCATGGGCAGGGGAAGAGCAAGCCGGAGTGGGAGGTCTGGCCAGACCTGCCTGAGCTGATCCCTGCTCTCTCTTGCAGACCGCCTGCGGACAGAGCCCTTCCAGGAGCAGATGTTTCAGCGGAACTTCATGGCTGAGGTAAGGACTAGTGCAAGTCCTCTGTCCTTCAGCAAAGGGGTGGTGGGGAGCCATCACCAGCAGCCCCAGCGAGATGTGTGCCAGGCTGGATGAGGGCATTGGTGAGGATGGCTGGACCTGCCTGGAGAGGAGTAATGCCCACTGGCTCTCCCGTGGCTCACCTTGTGTCCTTGCACCTCATCTGCAGGGTGAGCTGAGCTAGAAGCATGCCTGGCATGGCTGGCTGGGGACATGGCACCGTGTTTTGTCACCGTCTCACCACTGCCTGGCTGCTGGGTGTTGCCAGGGGTGCAAGCCGGGCTGGCTGCTCCATGGGAGCGTGCCATCGCTGGGGCATCTTCACCTACGTCCCGCACTTGCTGTGGACCTGAAATACTGATACTGACGGTAGGCAGGGAGCTGGCGAATGAGGAGAAGCCATCTGCTCCTTTTGGTTCATCTGCTGCTTTTAGGAGTGGCTTTATGGTGGCACATTGTGGGGACAAGTGCCTTTCAGCCTGTTATCTGGGCTGTGCCCATCACTCTCCTCTTGGCTCAGCTCTAAAATCAGACATGTGCTTTGGAGAAGCTGGGGCTGGAAGTCTTTCCTCTGATCCTTTTTCATTACTGGAAATAATCACAGAAGCACTAAAATGACTCAAACCGATGTGGCAAGATCAAAAATGATTGATGCCCATCGATGCAAAAAGACTCAGGATGCTTCTGAGTGTTCCTGTGCTCGCTGTGAAGGCGCAGGAGTGGGGGAGCAGCAGGGGCTGCTGGGGACCAGGGAGCCAGGTAGGGTGTCCGTGGTGTCACACGGGCTTCGAGAGGACGTTGCCTTTTGAGACACACACTGATGCTCTTGCACAGCCAAGCAATAAACCATCTGCAGGGTTTCTAAAAATTAGAGATGATCCCTCTTTTACATGAGAGGCATTGCATCCAGCACAGGCAACTTTCGTTTCCCCCCAGTTATGATGGATAGAGATGAATTCACTGCTGGACTGCAACTTGGAGGTTGCCTAGGGACCGATGATCATGACCAGATTACATTCACCCTGGGCAAAGAAAAGACATTCCTAAACAGTAATTTATATCCTTCATGCTTTGAAAGGGCTAATTTCCCAGAGCAGGGGAAAATTATGAGTGAAATCAGCTCGGAGGAAACATTTAGATAGAAAAATGTGAATGAAAATGGTGAGCTCTTTCAGAAGAATTTCAGAAGCCACAAAAAGCCACAATTCCACAATCAAGAAAGAGGGCAGCGCTGGCCGAGAGCCCGTTCTGGTTCAGCGGCGAAGTGAAGGCAGCAATTAGAAATAAAAGAGCAGTTTATAACAAATGGGAGAGCGGGAGTAGATAGCAATCAATATAAATTAGAAATTATGAAGTGTAGAAAATGGATAACAGAAGCTAAAGACATCAGGGAAAAATCATGGCGAAGGACAGAGGGAAAGGCTTTTATTTAGCGTAGTAGGAGAAAACCCCAAGCTCCCAGCAACGGGATAAGCTTATTAGTAGACAGAGGTGGTAAAATGATTGATGCTGGAGCAGACATGGCAGAAGCAGTCGGTAAATGGTTCGGTGCTGTCACTGGAAGGATGCAGGCGGATGTGCCAGGATCGGGGTATGATGAAGTATGTCTTTGTCCGAGGGTCGGCTGAACAACATCTGCTAAAGATGAACGTCAGGCTTGAAACTCAGAGTCCTCCCAGAGCTGGTAGGGTGTGGGGCATGGGGGAAGGCGCTCGGTGGTGCCGGGTGGCTGCTCAGGCGGTGGGGCGGGTGGGAGAGGAGCAGGGCAGCCCTGCACAAAGCTGTGTGAAAGCGGCTGGTGGGGAGCTCATCCGGCAGGGACTTAAAAGATGGGAGGGCAGCTGGTGCTGAGTGTCCCAGGAACAGCCCAGGAGCAGCATCTTGGGTCCAGAGCACCAGATGGGGAATGGGAGGGTTTGGGAGATGCTCCCTCTCTGCATCCCCTGGCAGCCAGGTTGGAGCACCAGCCGCAGGGAGGAGGCTGGTGGAGGGGTGCAGTTGCGCGTCCAGGCTGCCTGCAGGGATCTGTCCTCTCTGCATTCATCCCGTTGCTTTATAAACCTGCTGATGACGCCTTTGGCCCATGTACCATCCCACGGCAATGAGCCATGAGATGTGAGCAGCTGCTGCCTTGGGTTTCAACGTGGTACCCCGTTGTTCCTCCTGATGCCTCCCAGGTCTTGCATTAGTGAGGAACACCAAACATGGCTTTGCAGCTCTCCAGCACCAAATCTGGCTGTTCACCCCACTCTTCCCCCTCTTCCTGCAGCAGAAGGGTGGGCTGGATGACCTTGTTGTCTCTGGGCAGGTATTTCAGAGCCCCTGGGCAATTTTGTACTCCATTTGCCAGATCCAAAAAGGAGCAGCAAAGAGGGGTTGGGGTCCCTCGGGACATGCTGCAGGGAGCCGGGAATGCTGCGACCGACTCCCATGTCTGGTTTTTCAAAAAGACGATGGTCAATCAGCGTGGAGTCGCAGGAATGAATTGAGGGCTGGGGAACGAGCCGGGCATTGAGAGACTTGGAAGGGAAGAGATCTGTCTAGCTTATCAGGGAGAAAATTGAGAGGCGCCTTGATTACAGTGTGTGAGGGTCTTTACAAGGAGAAAATGCTGGTTAGTGAAGGGCTCTCTTTAATCTGGTGGAGAGCAGTGGAGCACAAGCCAGGCACTGGGAGCTGGAGCCAGGCAATTTGGAGCTAGGACAGAGGCACTTGGGTTTGCTCCTGTGGGCGATTAGCAATTGGGGCACGCTCCCAAGGGCAGTGGTTGATCCTCCGTCTCTTGATGTCTCCAAAAGAAGGCTGGGAGCCCGCCTGGAAGAAAACCAAGTTGCTGGACTCAGTCTTGGCATGTGTGTGGTTGAACATCAGTGGACAGGAGGTCAGGAGGAGAGGTCTGATGGTCCTTCCAGCCTCTCCCTCTGGGAAACAGGGCTTCAGGTTGGGGATGTTTGGTAAGCACCTCCTGGCTGAAAGGGGGCTGTGATGGCATGGCGCAGGGCTGGTGGGATGCGGGAAAGCGGCTCCACGGCTTTGCTCACTTCCCAAACCTTTGCTGCATCCCCCATGGAGAGGAAAGGACCTGCCAGTGCCCCGTGGCAGAGCTGCACAGGGACGCTCCTGCCTCTCCGCTTAAACGTGCCCTTTCCCTGGGCTTGTGTGCACTTGGCTGTCCAGGGCATTTTAACTAATCATGGGGAGTTTTCCAGCAAAGCCCTGGGAATATTTATATGTTTAGGAAACGACGCTTTCACACACGCAGTTTTTGGCAAGGGTTCACTGCTGAGCAGCTGCCTGGGCTTGGGCAGAACTGGAGGGAGGGTGGCAGCCACGCGCGAGCTGAAGCAAAGCCGGCAGCTTTTATTGGCAAGCCCAGGGGTTCTCAGCGTGAGGGGAAAGAGCAGGCGGCTGGAGGGGACTTGGTGCCCCAGGACTGCCCCGGCACCCTTCCCAGCAGCCTAGGACCCAGCGGGTCGGGGGCATTTTGTCTCCAGGTGTCCCTTTGGGTTGCAGAGAGCATGCATGAGGTGCCCAACCACGGTTTTGAGAGCTTGCCCCGGCTTGGCTATGGTTGGCATTTTGTGACACAGCTTCTTGCCAAAGCCCGTGGTCTGGCCCTGTGAGGGGGGCAGCATCAGGGGGCCCATGTGGTGCCGTGCCCCCTGCCCTGGGGAGGGCAGGGACAGGTACACCGGGGACAAACTCACCGATAGCATCAGCGCAAATAGACC